ACTTGTGGGTGAAGCCTTGAATTTGACAGTCTACTTGATAAACCGTATACCATCTAGTGTTCTCAATTTTAGAAGACCATTAGATGCTCTCTCTGGTCACTGCATTCTTTTGCCAATGGTACTTTTGGCTCCTTGAATTTTTCGGTGTGTGGTCTATGTTCACTTGCAGCCATATCAACAGATTAAACTTGAGTCTCGTGCAGTGAAGTGTGTTTTTGGGATATGAGATCGGTCAAAAGGGCTAAAAGTGTTATGATCCATTTTCTCAGAGGTTTTATGTTTTCATAGATGTTATTTTACATGAGAAATAACTTCTCTATAAGCCACTGACGACTAATTTACCAAATCAATGGGAGAATCAAGATGAAGTTATTAATCATGAAGAATTGCATGTGTTTTTTCCTAGAGATTCAAATTCCTCAGACGAAGGAAATCAGATGTCTGGAGATATCGTACAAAATAATTCTCAGTCTAGGATCTTTCTTGAACAATCGAAGGAAGAAAAACCGGGAGACCTATGAATTTACGGATGAAGACTATGTCTCGGATTTGTTCCAAACAACTGGAAGTGATACCATCGATCAACCTAACGAAGGGGAAAGGTCCCCAATTGTTGAATAAACGTTTCCAAACTTCGAAGATGATTCTCTTCATGATAGTACAATGTCTCTTAATAATCCAATACATCCACTAGACCAATCTTCTTCTGAAACTTCCTCAAAGGTACCCACTAATCCTAATTCTACGATTGTTATGTGTTAATTTTGAATTTCAATTGTCTCAATATCGTCTTCCAGCTCATTCTAATTATGGTATACCACCCATTAAATATGAGTCTAATCCTAAATCCAAAGCTAGATATTCATTAGTAATTACGTGTCTTCCAAAAAAAATGTCCAAGTCATATGTGTCTTATGTACAGTTATCCTTTGTCTCTATTCCTAGTAAAATGCAGGAAGCTTTAGCAGATTCTAAATAGACCCAAGCTATGGCTAAAGAAATGGCAACACTTGAAAAGAGTGCTACGACTTGTGAACTTGTGCCTCTATCGAAAGGAAAGAAAACTGTGGGATGTTGATTGGTGTTTGCGATCAAGCATAAGGCAAACGAGACCATTGAAAGGTACAAAGCTTGGTTGGTTGCAAAAGGGTATAAGCAGTCTTATGGGATTGGCTATCAAGACACTTTTGCACCGGTTGTCATGTTTAACATAGTTAGAGTGCTTTTGCCTTTGGCGGTTAACCAAGATTTTCCACTTCTTCAATTTGATGTAAAAGTGCTTTCTTGCATGGAGATCTTACAAAAGAAGTGTACATGGATCCTTCTCTAGGTATAGAAAAGTACTCAAATGTTCCAATGGTGTGCAAACTCAAGAAGGCATTGTATGGTTTAAAGCAATCTATAAAAGCTTGGTTTGGTAGATTTACCAAATATATGAAAAGCTAGGATTATTTATGTTGATGATATGGTGGTGACAAGTGATGATCAAGATGAAATTAAGAACTTACAATGACACTTGGCCTTGGAGTTTGAAATGAAATAGCTTAGTGACTTGAAGTACTTTCTTGGGCTTGAGGTAGCCTAATCAAAAAATGGTATTTTATTATCTCAACAGAAATACATTCTTGATTTGTTAATTGAAACAGGTATGCTTGGATGTAAGCCTACGAATACCCCTATTAATAAAAGCATAAGTTGTTTCATTGTTTAGATGCAACTTCTATTGATAAGGCAAGGTACCAAAGACTTGTGGGAAAATTGATTTATTTGTCCCACACTAGGCTAGATATTACTTATGCAGCATGTGTAGTGAGTCAATTTATGCACGATCCTCATAAACCTCACATGGATGCTGTGGAACATATATTGAGGTCTTTGAAGTCTACTCCATGTAAAGCATTTCTTTTCACCAAGCATAATCATCTAAAGGCGAAAGGTTACACTGATGCAGATTAGGTGGTTCAACTTATAACAAAAAATCTGCTTTAGGATATTTTACTTTTGTAGGGGGAAACCTTGTGACTTGAAGGAGTAAAAAGCAACGAGTAGTAGCAAGGTCAAGTACAGAAGCTGAGTATAAAGACATGACTTTTAGAGTGTGTGAGTTACTATGGTTGAGGAACTTGCTCAGGGGTTTGGGTGTTGACTCTAAAGTTGTATTGTGATAACACTTCAGCTATAGAGATTGTTCACAATCCAGTACAACACGATCGGATGAAGCATGTAGAAAAAGATTGACACTTAATTAAGGAAAAACTTGAAGTTAGGATCATTATATTTCCTTTTGTGAAGTTTGAAGACCAACTAGCCGATATTCTTACCAAAGACATAGCTAGCAACGTTTTTAATGACTCTTTAGACAAGTTAGACATGTGTGATATCCATACTTCAACTTGAGGGGGAGTGCTAGAGTTAAGGGATAATATCCTATAATTAAGAGTTTGATATGGTCAAACCTATAATTAAGAGTTTGATATGATATGGTCAATCCTATAATTAAGAGTTTAATATGGTCAATATTCTTAAATACCATTACCTTATTTCTCTCTTATAGAATATTTTCCATAATATTTTGTAATTACTTCTTTTATTATTTCCTTGTAAATGTTTCCTATATGTACTATATATATGATAGAGTTATAATGAATTAAAATATCATAAATTACTTCTCCATCCAAAGCATTACATAATAAAACATCTCTATAGTGATACTCTATATAAGAATAACTTCTATGTAGTAATAAAAAATTTTAATCCCAATTTAGGATAATTATAACTAAGAATAAACTCTATATTATAATAAGTTATAATTTTTCTAATTCTCATCTTAAGAAAGTTACCTCTACATAGTAATAATTATATGTATATTGCCAAAAAATATATATATATGTTATGTTACAATTAAAAGTTTAAGATGAAATATATTATTCATCTAAAATATGAATTATAAAATAAGAAATCAAGTGATATTAAAAGTAAATAAGAAATCTTAATACTACTAAAACAATTAATTGAAATTCTAATATATGCTACTAAAACATGAATTATAAAATAAGAAATTAAAACAATAATTTTTATAATTACACATCTATTAAGTTATAACCTCCTTGTAGTAATAAACTAGTTTGATACCACCATTATAACTATAGACAAGCACGTAGCCAAAATAGAGAGTTGTGGGTTCAATTGAAACCACTCAACTTTTTAAAAATTTAAAAAAATCTTAATGTTTTATAGATTTTACAATTTTAACCCTATTTAACTTCATGTTAACCTCACAAAATGAATTATTAATTAACATTTTTTTTAACTTTTCTCCCTTCTTCATTTCCACTCCTTTTCGCCCGTATTATATTTTTTCTTTGATTAGATACTCAAGCAAGGCTATTCCTTTGGATTACAAGGTAAGATGATGTTCATATTATTTATTTATTTATTTATACTTAAAATTCTTTTCTTTTAGCTTTCTTAATTGATAAAAAATCATGAGCTATAAGTTTTTGTTGAGTTTAATAAATGTATTTAAAATTGAAAGATTAAATTCCTAGATTTTGATGTGAGTTTTGATTTAATCTTGTTTATGTTGAGATATGGGTTAATCAATTATTGTTTTAAGTTGGATTTGATAAATTTTAGTTAGTTATTGAGTTAATTTTGAATGATTTAAAGAATTTGTGAAACCCTAAGTTGTAGAGATTTGGGGATTTGGTTTAATTTTGATATATTGGTTAATTGTTTGATATGTTGAGTTGGATTTGATGAGTTTTCATGGGTTTATGAGTTGAATTTTATTGGGTTGTATAAATTGATTGAAAAACCCAAGTTATGAGTTGAATTTTGATAAATTTGTGTTTTTTTTTTATTGTAATTGTTTTGTTTTGTTTTAATTGTAATTGTTTTTTTTTAAGTATCATTTTAATTGTATTGGTTAAATATAAATATTGTATATATTTTATTGTAAATATATCAACTTTGATGTTTTAAACTGACTGTATTTAGAATCTTGACTACATCCGTAATTATAGAGAAGTTTTACTATATTTCTATAAACAAACCTACTAATCATTCCTCTGCAACTTGAATGTATAAAATGACATTTGATTGCTAGCTATAACCTTATCCCACAAAAAGGGGACAGTAGCAAGTTAAAATTCCTGTAAAATCTCAACAAATTCAGATATAAAATATTCAATTGATAATATGTAAATTATAATATTATGTCATTCATACTAATGTGTCATCCTATATTATTATCATATAAAATGTAATACTATATCGGTGTAATAATATATTTTGTTGTCACATAACCTTTGGATTCCAACTCTAGAGCTGACAAAGTAGAAAAACAACAAAATCGAGCTGTCTCTTATAACTAGTATATCTGTGACCATTTACTTTCCCTCATGTCGAAATGTAAGCAATACAATACAAATTAAGAAAAGAAGAATACAGATGAGTAAATGTAGTCAGAAGTGTTGTGTATAGAATATTAATGTGTTTGCTTTTTAAGAGAGCTTGCTAAAGTGAAGATATATGTGCTCTGAAAAGCTGATCGGATCCACACCATGCTTTAGGTGGCAGGACCATCTAATGGGTCTAATCTTCCCACCTCTCTATTACTTCATATTTCTCTTTTTTATTTTAATTACCCACAACATAACAAAAAGGTAACCATTACACGTATATATTATCTAAAGGATTAACTGCTCTAAATTTATAAGAATTTAAAACATGATTTAATCGGTGTTATGGATACAACCAGTTTCTGTAACTGTCACTGAGTTCTCGTGCCATCTTTATTACTCATAACCAAGAAAACCAAAACCTCAATAAACCAATAAAAAAAAAAAAAAAAATTTAAAATTTAAAAAAGGTAAAGATTGTAATAGAACCCTTATCCATCCATCCAACGGCTGAAACATGATAAAAATTAAAGCTCTTAAAAAAGAACTCCACGTGCTTAAGTTTATTACTTGCCGCATTTGCTTTACACACATTCACCAGGGAAGAGAATTAAACCTTTCAAGTTTATTGCCGTTGTTTTCTTGAAATAATTTGAGAGAATTTTAGTATGGTGAATAAACAAGACGATTCATCAACATCACTGCCTGCTTCATCTTCTCGCCGCGCAAATTCTCCCAAAAATGTCCGCCACCTCAAGACCAACGTCGGTTGCATATCCGGCATTTTCCGCTTTGTTTATGGTTACAACAACCGCCGCCATGGCAAATTCATCACTTCTGGTTCTTTTCTTCTATCTTTCAAAAAGTTTCATAAGTTTTTTTAAATAATTATTATAATATTAATAAAATTCTTTCTTATTTTCTTAGGGAAAAAGCAGGAGAAGAACTCGGCTTCTTCGTCGTTAGAAGAAGAGAGGAAAACCGCAAATGGACCTCCAAGATCCTCGCACAGTGTACCGAGGAGTCCGACTTTGCCGGCGGAGATCCGACGGTCGATCACCGTAAAGTCACCGGAGAACTTGCAAACTACTCCGCCGTCCGCGGTTCTGACGGCTGAATCAGCTGCGGATAAGAGGAGGAAATTACTTGAAGCGTTGGAGAAATGTGACGAGGATTTAAAAGCTCTGAAGAAGATCATTGACGTTGTGAAGAGCAGTGTCAGTACCATTGCTGACGAAGAAAATAATAACAAAAATAATGATGAGAATTTTGGTGGAAGAGATAACAAGTGTTTGGAGCTTAACGGAGAGTTGCAACCGAGTCCGGTGTCCGTGCTTGAAGATTTCATGACAACGGCGAGTCTGATGAGCGGCTACTCTCGACGTTACACAAACGGTAAATCATCATCACTGTTGATAATTTGTTTTTGTTTGATTAATATTAATTATATTTGTCTTTTCTTTTGTTCATATTGCATGCATGAAATGTATCATTTATCACTAACAACAACAAAATAAGATAAGAATTAAATCCTTTTGTTGCAACCATTTTTTACGATTTTAAGAAAGTCAAAAGACCGCAACGGTTAAATTTTCGTAAGCTAGTCTACTTATTAATTGTTGCTATTAATATTAATGGTAGGGTGGCTTAAAAGGAACTTCAAAGAGACAAAAAACTCTAAATCCTTCGACTTGAATTCTAATTTGGAATTTGTTAGGTGTGGTTAAATATTTGAGGATTTAGGGATTGATTGAACTTTAATTTTTGGAAGTAAAGTTGAAACACTACATGCAAGTTTTATGATTCCAAAGTTTTTTAATCATATCAACTTGTGGGTAGACCATTATGATCTTTCATTTTAGTGGGAGACAAATAATAATAGCATGCCCGACTTACAGCTGTTATGATTGAAAACTAAATTTCAATTATATTTAGAGTAAATTTAGTATATGGTTATAAAATATGATGTTATTAAATCTTGATTTATTATGGATAATAAAATTGATAAGTAGATAGAGAAAACTTTGCCCTAGACTTGTGTTAAAGGGGGATGGACCTTCGATACTTTACCTTCCATGATACAGTCAAAGAAGGATTATTCAAAAAGCAAAAGAAAAGAGACAAACAGAGAAAAGAAAACTCAACTTTAAGGCTTCTATATATAATTGGGGTCCATCCACAGGCACTTGATTAATTGTGCGGTTAAAACCCTAGATGGTAAAAAAAGTGATTTTAGGAATAATGATATATCCACAAGCTGCTTCTTCACTTTGTCTTTTTTTTTTTTTTTTTTTACCTTATAATTAATTAACTTGTCAATAATCATCCCACAATGTAGCATGATGTTAGTTAGATCTGACCGATTCTTGGAATGATTAATAAGAAACTAAAGGAAATAGATCGATTTTACTGTTAATTCGGTCACTTTACAGAATAGAGAATCATATTATATAGTTTATAGTAACTTGTCTGGTTTTAATTGGGCTGTGTAAAAGTTAATTATACTGTTTATCGTTGTTAATTTTCTACTATTATTGTCTGTCACTCGCCGAATTGTATTTAAAGAAGAGTTATACTATAATATATATAAAAGCCCAAATTACAAGTGAAGCCAGAAGACCGAGAACCTCCAATGCCGTAGGTTTCGCTGGATTTGATATATCTCAAAACAGTTGCCTTTGAACAATTTAATTTCTGAAATATATTTTATATATTGAAAATTTGTTTTCCAAGTAAAATAAACAGTGAATGTGATTTTTTTTTTTTTTTTTCCTTCTCATCTTCAAAGTAGAAACTAGCTTTTAACATTGTATCCGAAAACTTTGTTCTAAACAGTATGCTTTACTTTATCATTATTTCAGAACAAAGAATTAATTAAAATTCAATATTAAATGAGTTTCTGAGAAAACAAAATAAATAGATGAAAAAAAAGGGGATAGTTTTGAGTCTATATCTTAGTTTTGGCCAAAAAAAAAAAAACACCATGCATGGATGTATATAAATATAATGGGAACATTGTTGTAGGACGAGTAATGCAACAACAGATGAAGCAGAGAAGCCGAAGAAAAAGCCCCGAGAAGATGACGAAATAGAGCAGCATATTTTCTGGATGAATTAGAGGTGAATCAAATCAAACAATCAAGAGTAGTAGTGGTGATCATCAAGAGAAGGTAACATCACCTATGTGGGCGAGCAAGGCGATAGAGAGAGCGTAAATGAAGTGTGTAAAGACATTGCATGGGGTGAGAAGAGGGAGATTGGAAGAATTGGATTGGTTTTACAAGATCGTATTTGCAGAGATTTGATGAAGAGATTGTTAGAGAACTTGAATGTTTTCCATGTTTTCACTTCCTTTTGAGGCTTGTAAAAGGAGTCTGCGTTTCTAGCTAGATAATTCTTGTTTGTTCTTCAACTTATATTCTTTTGGAAAGAGTTGTAATAGTTTGAATATGAGTTTCCAATTTCTAGACTTGTAAAAAGGTATAAAGGGAATATATTTTATATAGATTCAAATTGTTTTTCAGTTTATTTCAAGTCATTGTTTGAAAAGTGTTGATTAGTTTGAACTGATGAATACATGAATTCAAAGTGTCAGGTCAAGTTTATCATACAGTATATAATAAATGAAAAATGTTACATTACAACTCAATCTCACAAACATGAATACATGAATTTAAAATGTTAGGTCAAGTTTATCATACAGTATATAATAAATGAAAAATGTTACGTTTACAATTCAATCTCACAACTTTACAATCCTAACGTGTTAATAGAATGGTATGTCACGTCAACTCCGGCCACACCCAAGACAACCAAGGCACTACGAAAAACAAACAATTATTCCTTCAGAAGGAATAGTGTGTTCCATATCGTTCCTTTATAAGGAACGATTGTATTTATGAAGGAATAATCATTCTATGGATAATGATTGTTCTTTAAGGAACAATCATTCCTTTAATAAGAAATGATTGATTATTCCTTCGTAAGGAACGGTCATTCCTTCATAAGGAAATGAATGATTATTCTTTATAATAAATAATGATTATCTTTCTGTGTGGAATGAGTATTCCTTCATAAAAGAACGACTGTTCCCTGTGAAGGAATGACCGTTTCTTGTTCAACTCAAAAATCATTTTTGTTTGGGTGTAATGGAGTTAACGTGACAATGTCAACTAGGTGTCCCATCAAGGTTGTAAAAGAAGTTTGTGAGAATGGTTGTGGGCGTAGCATTACTCATAATAAATCAAACTACAAATTTCTAATTGGAGAAATATAAAGTTTGAAATTTTTAATACATGAAATTGCATAAAAATACAAAAAAATAATCAGAAAGCTTCACTAAAACGTTATAGAGAAATGCCATTAACCAACAGGCTTCCTGAAATTTAATTCATATTATTTTTACCAATGTGGGATTAGTTAATAAAAGAGAAATTATGCTTACCACGATTTATCATCCAAAATCTTTTCTTAATTTCTACATATTCTTTTATACTAATAATTATATAGAAAAAAAAAAAAAAAAATTGCTATCATTCTCCCAAAATGTGTGGGTAGGTGAGGTTGTAAAATTGGGCGGACGGCCGGTGACAATAACATAGCCGGCCCATATTGTGTGCGGCCCAGCATGATTGTTAGGATAAAGTGTTGAGCCCATTATTTATTATTCTTATGAGTTTTTATACTTGGTTGTAAATTCTCAATATATGATTTCATCATCTTAAAAAAAAATAAGAAATACTAATATAGTTAACGTCATAATATTCCTTTTTCATTAAATAGGTACCTTCAATGAATCTACGTAACAATCAAATGAAGATTTTATTTGTAGCAATTGCAATGATGAATTCACAAGGACATTACGGTCTTTTCATTAAATAAAAAATAAAAAGAGTGACTCTAATAAACGCACCTCACATATTGTCTTATCTTATTATTATTGTTATTATTTATCATTATAGTTTTATCATCTACAAAATATATTAAAGAGAAAAATAAGAAATTATTTACAAGTAAGATAAATCTTGTGTTAGTATTCCAAAAATTCCTATGCCGTTACCATCATATATTATGTTTAAAGAAAGAAATTTATGCAAAAAAATGTTTTGGGTTACGATTACCCAATTGTAAAATAAAAAAATTAAATGATTTAACAGTAAATTACCAAAAAACTCACATATATTCAATTTTTTTAAATCCCTAAATTTGTTAATTTTTAAATACCTCTAAATATTTTAAAAAATTACAAAAACACCCCAATAATCCATATTATCAGATTCGGCCACCATCGCTCGAAAATGGCCGGAATTGGCCGGAAAATGCCAGATCTAAGGCAAAGATTGGTCGTCGTTGAATAGAAAATACAGCCAGATCTGGCCTTACAGGCTAAATCCACCGTGGATCGACCGGAAAATGCCATATCGGAGCACGACCGGCAAGATCCAGCGGTCATGTGCCGATACGGTGACTTTGGCCACCCTCCGACAAGTGGGCCGGCTGTCCATATTGAGGGTGGATTGGGGGTGTTTTTGTAACTTTTAATGTTTTATTTAGGAGGTATTTTGTAAAAGAAAACATAGGGGGTATTTTATGATTTATAAATTATACATCGTAATACTCGCCAATATCAATTTTTTTTTAACTTTTAAAAAACTTTTTCTAAAAAACACAAAATTGTGAACCAAATGGGAGCCAAATATTTGGAATATTTTCAAAATAAATGAGATTGCTATAAATATTTAGGTATTTTCAAAATTATTAATAATGTATTTAAAAATGGTGACTTTGATAAATGTCCGAAAACACGGAAAATGATGTGATGCAAGAAGGGCAGCTCCTATAAAAGGCAAGCTTGCTTTTATCCAGAGGGAAAACGCAACAATCTCAATCTCTCTTCCGCGTATCTGTTTTTTTTTTAAACCCGAAATCATTCATTCCTGAGTTAATGGCGGATCAACTCACGATGACCAGATCTCTGAGTTCAAAGAAGCCTTCAGCTTGTTCGACAAGGATGGCGACGGTACGTCTCTCTGCTAGATCTGCTTTTCCTTTTTCAATTTCTCTGATTTTTGTTATTATATGTGTTCGCTTCTTGTTTTTGTTCTCTATGGATCTTTCTATTGTTTTGGATCTGCAGTGCTTTGAAATGATTTGGTTTTATTTGTGATTATCGAATTCTATTTATCGATTATGAAGCTTCTGCTTTGTGAATTGATGAAATAGCTGTCTTAATTGTGAAACTTTATGTCGTGTATTTTGATTTCTATGACGCAATCTTGAATATGCATTTGGATTTTTGTTTTGATCTTCGGATCCTTGTCGACTGTTCCAGAATTTGTTTAAGTCAACTTTATGATGCCTGGTTTTGTTTTCATTTAATTTTAAGTTATGTGTTATATATTTTTCTTATTTGTTTTTTTTTTTTTTTTTGGTAGCCTTAGATTTTAGTAAGGATTTAATTTACTTGCTTTATGATAGATTTTGTCATAGATTGATTCTAAATAATTGAATATTGAACAAATAAATTGTCCTTTTCACTTAATAATTTAACCCTTTCCCCTATTAAAATAAAGGAAATGCTACAATATGATATGTAACCATTCCTAAGATTTGATTGGGAGTTATTTTCAATTTGAGATAACTTTCGTGTTTATTAGAGAATGTTGAATCTGCACCATTATTTCTATATTGAGGAGTGCTACTTGTAATTGTGCCTGCAGTAGTCGTGGGTCTTCCAGTGACATAATTAAGCTCTATTTAAATTATGAAGACAAATTGAGTTAAGAAGAAGTTATTTTTTACTCTTAATTGAGAAAGTTTTCCATTCAATGAAGCATCTCCTGAAATTTGATGATGAACTCTTGCTGTTTCAGAATATCTTGTTTTTATGGACACAAATTGGACATTAAAAAGATATTTCACATTAGTTTTAAAATGCCTCTCTCATTTCTTCCCAACTTAACACCTACCATTCATTATTAAGTCATTGACTCCATATACAATAATCTACAATAGAGTTGTCTCTTATAACTTAAAGAAGTTTGAGATGGCCAATACATGTTTATTATTCATGAGGAAAAGAAAATTCACCTCAAGTCAAGAGAAGCAAAAGTGGGGGTGGTTTTCTACAGATCAAAATCATTCTCCAGTTTCTCTTGATTTATTTTCAAGTTTTTTTTTTTTTTTTTTTTTTGCCCTTTTTTTCAACTAATCCGAAAGGACTATGAAAATATAACTGGCAAAGTTTGTTAAAGAAATGCTGCTTTGAAGTTGAATGGCTTTTAAAGAAAGCAGTTTGCAGTGAAGACTTGGAAGTATTAATGGAGTGTCATATTTTGTAAATTAGCGTAAAGGATAGTCATTTGTTTCAACTCAATAGGCTGTACATTTCTAAAGAGAAATATGTGTCACTTGGAGAGTCAGCGACTGTCGCATGCAAGTGTGCTAGCGATGTTATGGTTCTTGATTTGGTTTTAGATTTGTGTATTCTTCATGGTAATGGGTTCTATTTGTTATGAAAACTAATTTAATAAATTCAATTTTGCAGGTTGCATCACCAACAAGGAACTTGGGACTGTGATGAGGTCATTGGGCCAGAATCCCACTGAGGCAGAGCTCCAGGACATGATTAATGAGGTGGAGCTGATGGTAATGGGACAATTGATTTTCCCGAGTTCCTGAACCTGATGGCCAGGAAGATGAAGGATACCGACTCTGAGGAGGAGCTTAAAGAGGCCTTCGGGTATTCGACAAGGATCAGAATGGTTTCATCTCAGCTGCTGAGCTGGCCATGTGATGACAAACCTGGGGGAGAAGCTTACGATGAAGAAGTTGATGAGATGATCAGGGAAGCTGATGTTGACGGAGACTGTCAAATAAATTATGAGGAGTTTGTCAAGGTTATGATGGCCAAGTGAATGATCCCACCCTCGCAAAAAGGTCTTATAAGAAATCATTTTGAAAAAGATTTGGAGAAAATAGGGTTGGCTAATATAATGGGATCCCTAGTTGTTATATATATTTTCGAGTATCTTTTCAGCTTTTACATATTTTACTTCCATCTGTGAACCAATCCAGCTTGCAGAACATTGTTTTCTGTTGCATGAATGACACTGTTAATTACTTGGCTATTATTTGCCTTTATAGTTCTGTGCATATCCGAATTTTTTGTTTAACGATTTTATGTAACTCTTAAGACTTCTGGGTGCATCAAAGAACCTGTTTTGTGGATGTATATTTTGGCTGAAGTTCTTTTAGGCAAAGGGCAATAAAATAATGTCCTCGACTGATGTGTATTACAACAATTCAGCTCATATAAAACATATGGGTGATGTGTGTTTTTTTTTTCAACAAATTCCTTGACTCAGTTTGTAAATTGAAGGTTATGTGTGTGAGTACTCTAGTTCCATCAAAATGGAGCATTAATTATGTGGATTGTCGTTGCAAAAATGTGTAAACATTTGTCTAGAGACTTAAAAAGTTGCTC